AAAACATTTCGGGGAGTAACAACCTCAAACTCGCTCACCTGACTGCACTACTGTCCCTAGACTCCAAATTTTGAATTTAAACCAAGGGCTTTCGTTTGTGCTGGTTTGCGTTTAAATTTTATCGTTACCACTACGAGCCTTCAGAAGTTACAAGGGATAATATTTGGGATTTCCAGCGAAACGACTGTATCCCCACCTCTATATTTTCAAATTCAAATCATGTCATTCGTTTATGATACGTTTGTGCTGCAACCCTTAAAACACTTAACAAAATAACAATCATTTTTTGTATTAATAAAAATTATTCGTGGGCGTCCTGTTAAGGGTTAAAAACGTATAATAATTAAGAATTTTGATTTTTACGATCACGTAAGTTTTAAAAAACACTCCTATAGGCTATAGGACAGGTAGGTACAATTAAATTATTTTAACCTAAATAAATACTACGATAAATAATTATTGGATAAGAGATAATTAAAGATTAATTTTATCTACTAATCCCAAACAGTTTTCGTTAAAACTCTAAGGACTATACTTATTACCTACTCAACTCAAAGTTTATAGATAATGCACTCAACTAACAACTACCTAATATAGGAATTTTAGGATGCTCGTGGGCGTGATGGATGGTGATTGCAAATTCCGTAATAACTCATCAATTTGATAACGGCAAGTCAGCAATCGAAATAGTATCTTTCTTATCACTCACCGAATTTGAAGCCTATTTGGCACAATGGCACTGTCTTGTCTTGCACAGTTGCACGTTGTCTGTCACGGCGTCAGAGCCCAYAGGGGAAACATCTTTGACAGGTTGGAATTCGATAACTAATAATTATAATGTGATAACATTGTCATTTCTCTCGTTCTCATAGCTCTGTGGCGTCAGTGCTTACTGCTTACTGCCACTTTCCTGCATGCAGTTATATAGCAACAGTATAAAATATAAATTGTTTACGTTTTCGATCGATGTCATATACTATCTTTTGGCACAATAGTTTACTTTGAAGGGTCAGTGYACATTTCCAAGTGGGTAAGTTCATTGAATACGTTGTGTGTTTATACCCATCTACAGATTCATAATGCGTTCATTGAACACGTTTTTACGACCATCGGCAGGTAAAGGTTTTTATTTTTTCATACATTTTTATCTTAGCTTTTTGATTGGAATTTTGTGTAAAACGTTTAGGTGTCCGAAACATATCCAGTTTGATATTGCCTGAGACTCATTCAAAACTAAAGAATGTGTGTCGAGAATTTTCAGAAGCTGAGTTACGACCGGTTGCCGCTTCACTAGACAARCAACAGTTGTTCCCTTCTGATCAAGTAAATAAATACAGGTGGTTTTGTAGATATATTCACAGATTTAAAATAATTAAACTGTAGAATACTCATCATAACATTAAATAGRTACTCTCTATTGTATACATATCAGTAAGAAAATATTGCATTATTATTATGAAATAATATAATATGTATTACAACTATAAATTGAGATAGTTAGTTTTCAAAAATACAAATCAAAAAGTTTGATTTTTTGGCCAAATGTTATTTTAATTAAGAATTGGCGATTTCCACACAGGTAACAATAAGATGTATACCAAATCAATGAATATTTATGTATCTACTAGAAAACCAGTTAGCTAGTAATGAGTGTTAATTAMATAGACTTTCTCGACCAAATATTATAATATGCTTTTAAGTATAAAAACAGTATCATGAAATGCAGAACTTTCAAGTTTATATTCATGTTGATTTCTTTGTTACAGATTAAAAAATTAGCTGATTTAGGAATCCTAGGAGTTGTAGTTGACAAGAAATATGGTGGTTCAGGTGCTGACTCTCTTGCATTATCAGTAGCTGTTGAGGAAATATCGAGGTAATGTACTGTTGCATTAAGATTACTACACACTGTAGCGATGGCAGAAAATTATATCGGGGACATTCTGGCTGCATGTTACTGCTACCGCTGCAGTATGTTAGGACCTTAATTCTTTATAGATTTCATGTCCAGTGTTTACTAACATAAAATATTATTATATAATATGTAATTAAATTAGATGCTGTGGTGGAACAGGTTCGATTGTAAGTATTCATAATGCTCTATATGCAGGTATAATAAATAAAGTTGGTACTCCTGAACAAAAATTGCAATTTCTGCAAGATTTTATTAGTAGAGGTATTGTTGGATGTTTTGCTCTCAGTGAACCAGGTGTGTAAAACCACTAGAACCAACAGTTTTTAAACATATCATTCATAATTTTAATTAATACCATAATTTTTGTTAATGTAAGGTTAGGAAGTGGCAGTGATGCTGCTAATATGCACACTTTAGCAAAACGTGAAGGAGATCATTGGATACTGAATGGTACAAAAGCTTGGGTGACAAATGGTATTGAAGGCGGTGCGATTATTGTAATAGCTCGTTCAGATGTTTCTAAAGGCCATAGTGGTGTATCAGCATTTATTGTACCAATAAATACACCAGGTACCTATTTTTAAAGTATACAATGAATATTCAAATAAGCACACAAATTATTTAGCGATCAATAGATATATATTATGGTAAATGGTAATTAACTTTTGAATTTAAGACTTAGATTATCCATATACCTTTGTCAAAGTACTTAATACTTTTACAGACCACAATTATCAGTTCACAGTTGTATCATGTACAAAATATATTTATCTAATACTTTTTCATGCTAGTTTAAATAAATTTATGGATTGGTATTTTTATCAACAAAAATAAGCACATAATCAATAATGATAGCTGTTAGTATATCATGACCCATAGTATAAAATATATTATTTCTTTTTGTACAAAATGTAAGTATACACTTGTATAAAAATTAAAACTTATTTCATCTACATTTTAGAAACCACTTTTTAATTAGTATATTTCAAAAAAAAATTTTTTACAATTTTTTAGCACAGGCACACACTTTAACATAACAATGCAAAATAGAAATTGTTAATCCTATGAGGAATTCAGTATCTATCTATGAAGAATGTTTCTTTTAAATTTTTATTACTACAAAGTTAGTTTCTTTGATATAGTGCATTAGGACTATGAAATTCAATTGATATAATACTGTTCTCATCTGATTCAATACTTATCTAACTATTTTCTATATTATATTAAATCTATGATATTCATGAATATTAAATAAAGGTTTTAACTTCTAAACCAATTAAATTGTTATTTTTAATATAGGTATATTTTGTTTTAGGTTTAACAAAAGGTAAAAGAGATGATAAATTAGGTATTAGAGCCGCATCTTCTTGTAATATCATTCTGGACAATGTTAAAGTACCAGTTAAAAATATGTTAGGGAATGAAGGTGATGGTTTCAAAATAGCCATGTCAGGGATTGGTTAGTAATTTATATTATTTGATACATTAAATAATTTCCTTATTTTTAGTATATGAACATAATTTTTATAAAATTATCTTTTATAGATTTGGCTAGAATAGGTATTGCATCACAAGCTTTAGGGATATCTCAAGCTGCAATGGACTGTGCTATTAACTATGCTGGAAATAGAACCGCTTTTGGTAATGCTATTATTAAACTGTCGGCTGTGCAGGTATGAATGTTCACTTAGATATCATAGTTGATGCATTTGTAATGATTAGGGCTCAGATTTATATGTAAATACAAATTTTTATTGTGACTTGATACATTAATTTAGGCAAATGATTAATTTGTTTCATGTGATTTTCAATTAAAGTAATCGACATACTACAAACACATAAACCCATATACTCTATGCTTACATAGAGCGTATTTCTCGATATATTCTGTATTTGTTAATTGTGTAGGTAAATAAGGACGTAATAGGTAAAACAATATTATATTTATTTATAATTATTGTTCTGCAAAAAGATCATTTAAAACTATAAAAAATGCTAATTATAAGTGATTTATATTGTTCTGTTTGTGAAAAATCTGATACAATTTCAAATTTATATACTAATAACTACTAAGAGAACAAGAAATAAAATAGTTTCTCAGTTTCTAATACATTCAACAATGATTTATGCATTATGCAAAGGTTTTATGGGCATTGATATTCTGAAAGCATGCTTATCAAAATTATGTAATCAATTTATGAAGAAAATCTTCTATCTATTAAAAACTTAATTGGTGACAATCAATGAGTTCATACAGGTATCATTTGACAAAATTATTAATGTGGATGCTAGATTTTTTGGAAAATTAGTACATGTATATTGTATAATATATATATCGTTACATAATATCCTGAGTTTTTTTAGCACATATTTTGGTTATCTAAATGCATATTTTTATAGAATACTATAAAAATACATAGCCCTAATAGWAATAAAAAATATATTATTGTTTGTTCTAGCAAAGGCTTTCTAAAATGGCTACACGATTGGAGGCTTCTAGACTTTTGACATGGAAAGCCGCGTGGTTGAGAGACAATAATCTACCTTTTACCAAGGTAAGTTTATACTTTATACTAAATAACTATATCTAATAAATTTGTAATATGTATAATATTGTATATATAGCTAAGGAAGTGTTTCAGCATCTTGTATTATTATAAATATATCGTCTTATTTAAATTGTATTGTTTGTTTAATTGTTGAGCTAAAATTGTATAAACAAAAAACTATATAGGTATATGAGTATAATTTAATTATTAGTCTTTTTTTTTTATATATATATAGGCAGCATCTATGGCCAAGTTAGAAGCATCACAAACAGCAACATATGTTACACATAATTGTATACAGATTCTTGGCGGAATTGGATATATTGCAGATATGCCAGCTGAACGACATTACAGAGATGCCAGAATAACTGAAATATATGCAGGTCCGACAGATATTCAATATTTAGTTATTGCTGAAAAATTAGCAAAAGAATATGGGTATAAATCTAGATAAGATTTCAATATTAAATTCTTTAACTTGGTGGTGGACGATTTGTTTATATTATTTGTTATATAATTGATTAAGTATACAATAATTATATTATTACATGTTGATAACTACCCCGTATTTTTCTGTCAATTGTATACATATTTTGTAACTGTTAACTAATAATTAGAACATTATACTATTCGGACAAATAAAATTTATCAATATACAATAATCATTAGCAATGAGTATACTTACCTATGATGTGTGTATTTATACACACATCAAATATTTAATAATATTTTCATGTTTTCTTTCTTTTTTTTCAACTGTGTTATGTAAGTAATTTACCTATTGGCAAAGATTTATGTTGAATTTTTTTTGTTACAACAAAAAATTATTATTATTACACACAGTACATACCCAGTATTAGCGTGGTACATCACATACTCATGTACGTATAAAGGAAGACAGGATTTGAAAACAAGAATTTACTTTCTATATTAATAATTAMAACTAAAAATAAATACCCAAACTTACAGATTTATTATACTAATAATTTAAATTACATTTCTTRCAATCATAAAATCACTTTTGTTTGTAAGAAGCCATAAATTTTTTTCTCCGTTCTACACTTTCAATTTTTGCTTGTTTTTTAGCTTGAGCTTTGGCTATTAAATCCTTTATAACAAATTCAGGTAGTCGTTTTCCTCTCCACCTATTTGGCAATATTGTCATATTAACAATATTCAGTTTTTCTTGTACATAATTTATTGGACTAAATTTTTCAGCTTCTTTTACCTGTAGAAATATGAGTATATAAATAATAATTATTACTAAACTTAATGAGTCCATAAATATGTATTAATTTTCTATTAAACTAATATAAATTGTTTAATTAACGAGGATTCAAACTTTCTTTGCTATTTTATAGATATTTTAAGTGGATTTTAAGTTGTATGCTTCTGTTGAAGATAAAATACTGATAATTAGATAAAAGATAACTCATTTATTTTTCTTATAATTAAAATTTTACTTTTGCTAACTTATAAGGTAGGGAATGGATTTGAATGCAAATTACATTTTTATGAATATCCGAAAACATTGCTTTCCAAGCACAAAGTTCATTTCATACATCAAGAAATTTAAAAATTTAACTTTAATCTTGCATTTTTTGATATTTTTATATAGGAATGGATAACATTTGATAAAAATGTAGATTATAATTAATTTTATAAAAATAAGTATTTATTATGTTTTTACCGATCAGATAAACCCTGACTCCCAGAGAAATTGTTGTAGACACGCGATTTACACACATACAAAATACAATATATAAGCTATTTATCTAAATTTTAATTTTATTTTGCACTATTGATTTAACTTATAAGTTTTAAACTCAAAATTGTGTTTTTATTGAATTTAAAAATATTCTAAGGCATTAAGTCATTTTTCTTACTTTTTATGGCATTTAAGTCTGTTCCCTACTAATAAGTAATAACATTTTGTATCTATGCATACAGTTTAAAATTAAAATCGATATTTTTAAATGGGACACAATTTTTTTTTATGCAATGTCAGATGGTCACCAATGTAAGTATTAAAAAAAAAGTAATTCTTTGAATTTATGTGCCTCAGCAATATAATTCAGTATCATGAAGGAAATAATATTTTACTTTTATAACACAAACATAAGTTGTCGTCAAAATTTTTTTAATATCAAAATGTGAAACCAATTAACATTTATCTAAACCAATGTTAAGTAATAAGTAGAATATAAGATATACATATTCACTAAATATAATATTCATAATATTAACTAGATATTACCCAATTCAAATAATTTCATTATAAACATTCATTGATTACCTGTCCCATTAATTCAGCTTGAAACGCCTTTTCTTTTCTCATTTCTCTCTTTTGTCTAACTTTGGCCCACACATACTTCATACGCTTTCTTAACTTTCTCAATTTGTGTTTTTTCATTTTCTTACGACGAATTACAATCAGTCGAGCTGCTTGAATTTCGTTATCATTATCAACTATTGGATCAGCCAATGGGAGAGATACTGTTGGTCGAGGGATTCTTAAAGGAATACAAGGAATTGGCTTCTCTATAATTTTTTTTGTTATAATGGTAGGCAGTTTAATAGAAATAGGTAATGTAGGTGAACCCAGAGGCAGCTGATTTAATGAACAGATAGATCGTATAGTTGGGTGTGCATGTCGTCTTTCAGCAGCAATAGTAACTAAAAATAAATTTAATTGTAAATAATTAATAATAATATGAACAAATCATCAGTTTTAACAACAACTATACCAGTACATTTTCCTGTTGGCATTCACACAATTTTAATAAACCACTCATGGGGGGAGGGGATCATAATAATCAATATATAAAATCTAAAGAATCGTAGAATGKAAAAACATATCAAAGCATTTCTAGAATTTTTTTYATACTGATTATTTCTTGGAATTATAATAAAGTGTCAGAGCGCTGAATAGAATAATGACAAARAATATATAAGACGCTCTCGTTTAATATTTAAAAAACAAATGTGGGCTATTGAAACAGATGWCATGAATTAATGGAAATAAATCAGAATAAGCACATAAAATCTACAGTAATCAGGTGAACCACATGAAAATAATTTGAGCGCATGTTAAATTACTAGAAAAATTTGTAGGAAACAAAAATTTAAATAAAAAAGTTKTTTTTTAGAAATTAATCAAAATTGATGAACTAATAATACTTTCAAAACTCACGAAAAAAAAATACATAAATATTACTTAAGTTAACTAGTGATAAATCTTTGGGTGCAAGTATTTTTATTATTCTTACTGTTTGCAATGCCCCGGGCGACGAACCTCAAACTTCCCAACATCGTAGTAGCAATATTCACATTCGATCATTCAGTAAGCGCAGTGGCTTAGGATCTTAGACTGTAAAAAATAAAATTTATAGAAAAACTATTTTTTTTTTTAATCTTCAAAAAACATAATCACTAATCAGTAATCACACCGCCGTCGCCGTGGACCATCAGAGCCGGAGGTTCTTATCAAAAATTGTAGAAAAGGTGTTGTTACTAGCGGCATCTAGGATTATTCCTTGTTTAAACACCCGACGCTTTTCATCACAGCACAAAAATGATCCAACACCGCACAAAATGCATAACAAARTACCACAGAATAGATGAAATACCACTCACAAAAATGCTATAATAGAATAATACCAGTGATACCACTCAAATTTATTAAATAACTATACAAATTTATAAAAATTAAAAATATTCATAAAATACCATAAAAATTATCAAAATTAAAATGATTAAAATTAKCCATGATTTGTATTTTCTATACTCTATTCGCCGTAAGTTGACCCACTCGCTCGACGAAAACCGGTCGCGGTTGCGCAGGCCACCGCTTCTTCGGAGCGTTATATAGTGATGATCGTCGCCACCGCACCTGGCGAATACGTAGTGATTCGATTATCCAGCGAACGCGAATCTATCTCCGCGAACSCTCGCTATTGTTAACGATACATTTTTTTATCCTGTTTACAATTATTTTTATCCGAATTTTTATTTATTAATCAATATAATTCGCTATGGATAGTAGTGATGATCAAGGAATTGAAGACGTAGAAGCATTATCACCAGTAACTAAGAATACACGAGGAAAAGTGAGTATTACATGAAATACAATAATAGTTATTCTTATTACATACGCGAATAAAAGAACCGGTGTCCGTAAAAATCGACTTGGTTTAAGCATAAATGAATTACTATTATAAAAGTTTTTCGAGTTTTCGCGACTCGATTGTATTTATTATAGGATGTAATTATTACGAAATATTATAATTGAATTGATGATTTAAATATATTTTCATATATTTTGAATAATAAAACGAAGTTCGTTAACTTTGGGCCCGATATTTTTTAATAATATTTTTGAATTTAAAATTTGTATTTTTTTGAATTTAGATTGTTGGTTCACGTGAGCGATTACGTATTGTCAATATGTACAAGACAATTATTAAGGATAATCCAAGTATGTCAATGAGGCAAATGAGGGTGATAATTGCAAAAACAATGGGCGTTAGTGAATCAACAGTACATAGAACCGTCAGTGATTACAAGGAAACTAAAACGGTAATATCTCCAAAACGCAAGAGAGTAAGAAACCAAATTACTGAAACGTTCGATGACTTCGATCGGAATGCAGTCCGTAGGCACGTACACAGTATTTGGCTCCGACGCGAAATCCCTACGGTTGATAAAATTCACAAAGCTGTGTCTGATGATAAAGATTTGCCAACCGTATCGCGTACTAGTATGTTTAAATTATTGAAGGAATTAAAATTCCGTTACGTTAAGAGAGGTCGTAACAGTGCTCTAACAGAAAAAACCGAGTTAATACTTTGGCGAAGAAGGTACTTGAGATCAATACGGAAATATCGTGAAGAGGGTCGCCATGTGTATTATTTAGACGAAACCTGGGTGAATTCTGGTGACTGTCCAAATTATGAATGGCGTGATACAACAATAACAACATCCCACCGAKTCGCATTCCTAAAGCGAATGTCGACCGGTTTCGTGAATCCGTCTGGCAAAGGCACGCGTCTAATTGTTCTTCATATAGGGTCCGAAGATGGTTTTGTTGACAATGGATTATTGTGTTTTGAATCCAAGAAGAACTCCCGCGATTACCACGACGAGATGAACGGGCAATTTTACGAGTGGATGGAAAATATTCTACCTCGTCTAAAGGACAACTGCGTTATTGTTATGGACAATGCGTCGTATCATTCAGTTAAGTTGGACAAAGCACCGACTGCGTCAACGAAGAAGGCCGATATTATACAGTGGTTGGAGAATAAAGGGGAAGTGGTGGATAGRACTATGATAATACGAGAACTTTTAGACATCGTAAAAAAAATTAAGCCTCAACATGAGAAATTTGTTATTGATGAAATCGCCAATGCACAAAATAAAACAATTTTACGTCTGCCACCTTATCATTGCGAGCTTAATCCAATTGAACTTGCTTGGTCATCGATCAAGAATCACGTAAAAATGAACAACACTACATATTTTAAACTACCCGATGTCAAAAAACTTTTAATAGAAGGCATAGAAAGAGTAGATGCAGATATGTGGAAGAACTTTATAAGACACACGATAACGGAAGAAAATAGGTTTTGGGAAATAGATGACATTATGGACGAGGTGTTTGAAGCGCAGAGACAAAATTTAACTTTAACTATTACTGGAGATACGTCATCTGATTCAGAGTCTGATACGGATTGAACTATTCTTATAATTTGTAAATATATTTGTTTTTAATACCTGTTTTAGATTCTGAGCGGAGCGATGAATGTA